CACACTTCGATTCTCTCCCATTCATGCGTATACCACATTTTGCACATACCCCCTTTTGCTTTTTTGTTCACACATCTGCATTTCCCCACTTCAACACGCCGTGGAGGGTTACATCATCTAGCGCTGGGCGAGCTTCACCTCGTCAGCCATCATACTACGCGCCCCTTTTTGCGCGCTTTACAACAACACCTGTTTAATTAGCTTTGGGGTTGACGAAGACGACGAAAAGATTATGGATATTCGTGTCACATGAACACTGAATTCACACGACACATTGATTTTGTGTCTGCGAACTGGAAGAGTCAGCATGAGCTTGGCTGTTTGGCAACTCTCGCGGAGGACAGGACGCGCAGTTAGAAACGAGGAACCTTGGTGATGCTTGGCTCGCTGATATTGCCTACTCATACGATCGGCTTCAGAGCACTATGTCTTTAGAGACATGAGGAAGAGCAGAGGAATTGAAACCAAAATCAAAGAAAAAAAAGGAAAAAAGAGAAATTACCTCCCTCTAGCATTTTTGGTGAACGGCGGGATCTGGGTTTTCCGGGATTGGGCGGCTAGGTCTAGCTCTCAAAGAATGGAACTCTTGATTGTTTCGTCCCATCCTCGTGGCGTTGAGTGTCGTGTGGTCACCTGATGCCGTTGTTGTGATTTGTGTACGCTGAGGTCTCCTCATAGTGAAACAACACCTAAACTGAGTTGGACTATTTATACTATCGCGAGACACTGCTTCCAAGGCAATCGTCACCCTGAAATGCTGGTCAAAGGTCTGGTCAAACGAAGGACTTGGTGTTGCTAATGAGCATGGTCTTGTTCCTGGGCTGGCTGTGGCTACATGTTCCCGATTGGCTTTTCAAGATGCATCATGGGACATTGAGGATGGTTCCGCCGCCTCAGGAAACATACCTCACGGCTTACTCTAGAACTCTTATTGGAAAATTATGTCTGCTATACTAAGTAAAACATGTAAATCATCATGAGCATTATGGATTCGTCCTTTGATAAGCTAGATGATGGCCCAGATATCCAGGGTATTAGTTTACTACAGTCAAAGCCAACGTTCTCTGCCTCTTTTCACTCGATGAGCCAGCCCCTTTTGTGGGTTTGTATTCTTTTTTCAACCTGATCACTCGTAAGAGGCCAAGACATCCACAGAGGGAGAGGTACTCGCATAAAGAGGTTTATGTTTGTATTGCAATTGATTTTACAGTGACCATACTTTCAAGCCACCAAAGCAAGCACCTCTAGACGAGAAACTGGTTGGGCACATACAACGGCATGGAATCCTCCCACAAACTATCCGTAAGCATCCTCTTGTTCGACCCGTCGGCGTCCATGACGATGATCTGCCCGTACGGCTGGAACGTCTGGTCATAGATGGCCGCCTCGTCCCGGAACCCGTACATGCCGCTGGAATAGAGGATCCGCCCGTCGTGCGACCACACGGCGTGCGCGTCATTTGCGCCGCTCGACGTGAGCGTCTGCAGGTCCGAGCCGTCGGGCCGGATGGTGCAGACATCGAAATTCGTCGCCGACGTCTTGCGCGTGAAGACGATGCGCTCGCCGTCGGGCGACCAGAAGGGGAGGTTGTCCGTCGCGTTGGTCAGGCTCCGCACCGTCTTGGTCTCGAGGTCGATGACGCGGAGGCCGTAGCGGACACCCCACTCGCGGAAGACGAGGCTGCGGCCGTCCGGGCTGTACGAGGGGAACCCGGAGTGGACGGTGCCGTCCGTCAGGGCCTCGTAGAAGCTGCCGTTGGAGGTCGTGCGGTAGACGCGGGCTTTGCCCGTCGCGCGGGATTGGAACCAGGAGCCTAGGCCGAAGGCAATCCACTGGCCGTCGCTGGACCAGGCTGGTTGGAAAGCGCCGGCGAGGCCCTTTGCGACGAGGGCGGCGTCGATCTCGCCCGTCTTGGAGGAGTCGAAGACGAGCTTGAGGTCGGTGCCGTCTGGGTTCATGGAGACGATGGAGGAGTTGCCGAGTTGTTTTTGAGTGATGACGAGGCGGCCCTGCAGGGAGAGCTGGGGAAAGACGTCGGTGGAGCGGTATTCCCAGTCCGCGTCCCAGCTGTAGAGGGGCTTCTCCATGGCGCGAGCGGTGAAGCCTACTTTTTCGTAGATGACGAAGCGGCCATCTGGGGACCAGGCTGGGGAACGGATCGCTGCTTTGACGGGTGAGTGGGCGCGTGAGGTGTAGTTGTATCCTTCGTTGTCGCCGCCCTTAATCAGGTATGCAATGTTGTTGCTGTTAGGTTCATCCGAGGTGCCATCGTCGGCCAACCACTGAGGGAACATCTTAACGCTGGCGCCCGAGGTATGCTCGATGCGATCTTCTCCCGTCTCAAAATCAACCGACACGATCTGAGAGATGGCGGCCGCGAGGGACTCGGGCCGGTGCGCGTCCCACGTCTGCTCGGTGGTGATCTCGTAGTAGAGGATGCGCTTCCCATCGGGGCTCCATTTCGGCGAGCCAAGGCAGTAGCCCGTCTTTGTGGCGACCTGACGAAACCCGGAGCCGTCCGGCCGGACGACGTAGACGGAGAGCTCCTGGGTGTGTTCCCAGCCCGTGCCGTTGCCGTGGCCCCGCCAGGCCGTGTTGCGGTCCGAGGCGAAGGCGATCCACTCACCGTCCGGGGACCAGCTGGGTCGGAAGTGGCCGTCGGGCAGCAGAGGGTCGCCAGCGATCTCGGGGGTGTTTGTGAGGTTGCGGCGGGCGCCGGTGGCGATGTCGAGGACCCAGATGTTGGCGCGGTAGCCGTTCTCGGTGGAGACGTAGGCGAGTTTTGTTCCGTCTGGGGAGAGGGCGCCCGCGTCCTCGACAGCGGGCGTGGCGATGAGCTCTTCCAGGTTGGAGCACGAGGCGGATGTGGAGTTACCGGTGCCGGCAGCGGAGAAGCTGCACCGGTAGAGGTCCGAGTTGCCGTCGCCGTTACGCTCGGTGGTAAAAGCCACATGTTTGCCGTCCGGGGAGAAGGCGGCGTGGTACTCGAAGCTCGAGGCGTTGCCGAGGAGCTTCTGCTCGTTCGTGCCGTCCGCGTTGGCGATATAGAGCTCCGAGGTAGATGGCCCGATGCGGTTCATGAGGAGGACGCCCTTCTTGCCGTCTGCAGCGGGGAGGCCGCGGGCCGAGTGGGCCTGCGGGAGGGAGGCGAGGTTGAAGTCGGCGCGGAGCTGGTGGACGTGGCGGGCCGAGGTCGACGAGGTGGCCAGGCAGAGGCAGAGGAGGGAGAAAGGGAGTGACGACCGCATCTTGAGGGGCTTGGGTGGCGAAGGCACACCGCTTTGGAATGAACGAGAGAGAGGTGGTAGTGGTGGGAGAAAGAGAAGAGGGACCCGAGGGCATCTACATTCTTTCGTCTGGTATTTGTCTTTCTCGAGGATGGCTGGACTTTGCCATCGCCAGCACTCTCGCACATAGCAGAAGTCCGAGAAGGACCCAGGAAGGGGAGGAGCTTTCACAGCAATCAGCCAGGGTCCTGGACATCGGCACTGCGAGGTACTCTTCTCTGGGATATCGAGAAGTCTGAGTCTTTCTCAGGAGAGAAATCTTATTGGCTTTCATGACGACTGCTACGTATTCCTTCCCGCTCAATTGCCGCTTTCCGCTATGAGCAGCGGTTCAGAGTCTTGGCGGAGTGGAACATCGCGGGTGTATAAGAGCTTGTTTTGGAGAAGTCAAGAAGTTCTCCCCCCCGTTGGCTCCCGTTGGGGGTGACATCCTGGGATCCTGAGCGGGTTGCCATTCGATCGGACCAGCCCCACCAAAGGGCTACTCTCGGATAGCTGCCGTAACTTAACTTCTCCGATGCAAGACTGATCGGACCTATCTTATGGAGTCAATTGCCATTAAACACCGCATGAGGAAGGTTCTTCTTTTCTGGGGGGTGGTATCCAATGGGTGTGAAGGATTTTCTAACACCTTTCTTCCATGTGCGTTCTTCTCTAAGCCTCCGATGAAGAAAAAGTTTTAGTAAAACGTGGGTGCGTGGCTGCGGGGGAGATGCGAACGTTGCTGTACGGAGTACTGGAGTGGATGATCCCGTTCTCCTCCTCCTCCCATAGGCTATCCTGTAGGCTATCGAGCTAGTTGCATGACGTTAAAGTCATGTTAGGTTGTCTTATCAATCAATTGATTCTTTAGAGGGGAGGCTCAATTTCGCTCAGACTCGCCGTGCATGACTTCGGCAGCGATCGGTCAGAAATCGGCAACTGAGATGTTATGTAAAAGTAGAGGCCTCCTTATGCCGAATTCAGAAGCCGAGGTCTTTACTCGGTCTTAGGTTTCGAATCAGACTGTAAGTAAGTCTATCAATGTTTGGCTTCACCAAGTGGATAGTCAGGTGGCATAAGTATGGGGGTGCGGAATGATGTGTCCAGAGGAAGTGTAGACAATGCAGCGCAACACTTGATTCAATAGGCATCAAATTTTCTTTAAACTGTATCAGTTGATCTGCTTTTCTTTATGGTAAACCCTCCTACAAAATGCGTTGTTCTATGGGATGCAGTGGCACTACTATCTGCTTGTATAACCCAACACTGTGACTTTCCTCGATGTAGACTTATGCACGAGTCCAGACCCGCGAACATACGACATGTCGCTAGAAGTAAAGAGTTGTCAGGCAGCCTGAACACTTCAACTCCATGACGACCTGCATGCGCCACATCATCTTCCTCCCGCCGCTGACCTGCACAACATCTGCAGTTCTGCAATCTTGGCTGCCAATGGGCTCTCGTCAGTGGACGAATCGGGCAAGTGGCGCTCGGGTTCGGGAGACTACATCCCTGTAGCATTCGGCTCCGGTATCCTGGTCTCCGACCCAATCACCCACACTGCTTTACTCTGACATTTGAAAAGTCCACCAGAAGGAAAAGCGAACACGAGTAATGGTAGAGGTAATGCCAATAACAGAAATAGATGTAATTGCAATAATAGAGATAGAGATAGAGATTAAGGTAGCAATAGAGGTCGAAGTGATGCTTCAGCACGAAGCAAAGAGCCATGGATGCTGTTTTCATCTAAGAATGATCGCTAGTTAGCTGTCGTTGAACATGCTAGATTCATTATATTTAGTCGCATAGGGAGGAAAGCTAAAGTTGGAGATGCCGGGATCATGGTGATGTAGGTCTATCAACCTTCCCTAGAACACCCAAATTCCGCTTATGAAGCTTTCGCATTCAAGTATTCTGATTGTTACTCATGATTGTTGCGAGTCCGTATCGCTATTTTAACCTTTGAACTACTACGAAACGACATAAACCAGCTTGGTTCCGCTCACCTTGCCCTGTCTAACAAGATCCAGACCCCTGAGAACGCCTTCGAGACCACTTCCACCCTCATTCACAGTAGGCTTGTGAGCAACAATCTTCCCCTCTCCCAACAGCCGCTCGGTATCATCCCAGAACTTGCTACCAAACTCCAAATCCGCCGGGATCGCCGGCAAGGCCTGCGGGCCAAATTGGCACGGCTCGCCGATGGCAGTGTACGCCAGCGTCATCTTGGGTGTCACCTTGCTGTTGATCGCCGAGACGAGCTCCGCCGGCACGGGCCGCAGGGTGGAGTAGACGCCGCCGTCTTCCGCAATCGCCCTGACGCTGATGTCCGCAGACGACTCAGAGGAAATGCAGTCCAGCACGTGCTTCAGCTTGCCACCCGCGCTCTTCTCAATGTCCTCCACGACGGTGGCAGACTTGTAATCCAAGATTTCGTCGGCGCCCAGCTTCTTCAGGTAGGCAAAGTTGTGGGGCGAAGCCGTCGTGATGACGTGCAGACCAGACAGCTTGGCATACTGGATCGCCAGCACGCCGGTCGCCGTGCTCCCGCCGTAGATGAGAACGGGCAGCTTCTCGGCGCTGGGCTGGTCAATGTACGGCAGACCGAGGCTTTGGTACAGGCCCTGGCCCACGGTGGTCACGCCGACGCCGAGGGTGGCGGCCTCCTCGAAACTGACGTTGTCCGGGATGCGGAGCTGCAGGTCGCCCTTGACGGTGATGTATTCGGCAAACGTGCCGTCTTCGTGGTGCACGGCGTTGGACCCGTGCGCGACGCCGGCGATGCGGTCGCCCTTCTTGAAGGACTTTGCTACCTTGGAGCCGACCTCTTTGACGATGCCGGCATAGTCGCAGCCCACGCGGGCTCCTGTGACGGCAAAGAGGTCGATGTGGAGGATGTCTGTCGGGTTCAGGGCGACGGCCTTGACTTTGACAATGAGGTAGTCGTCGCGGAGCTTGGGGATGGAGGCTTCGACGACTGAGGCCTTGCCTGCGCCCTGGATGACGATGGCGTGGTTGAAAGACATTTTTGTGTACACGTAATGATTCCGTGTGTTTTCTTGAGAGATTGATTGCAATTTGGTGGTGATAGAGAGTGTAATCGGAATTTTTACGTGGGCATGGTCCCTCAATTGCCATTTTATGCTCATCTCTCGGTATGCTTTCTCTCATGCTGAAACCCAAAACTGAACATTATTAAGCACGTTCCGTTCGCCATGATACACAATCACGAACTGCAGATGGCCTATTCGCCTTGCCATTGTTGCGGAGTTGCGGCCAGCAGACGGACGGTCAACCAACGAGTTGCGGATGGGGCTGAAGCCCCACATTTGACGGGCTACGGCTGCATTCAAATCGGCGCCGGAGAGTCTCCACTTTCTCGGGGGCGATTATTAAACAGCCCCCGGGACGATTATGGTTTACTCACCACACGCGAGCGGTACAGTAGACAAGGCGATAAAATAGGGCCAAACCTTCTACCTGCTGGATGTCAGTCTTTGTCATCCCGAGGCCTTGTCCGGCCCCTCCTTCCGGATAAAGACGCGGAGAGGTTTTGGCTTGCCCGAGAGCCTTCCAAGACGGCGGGGAATGGAGCATCTGAAGGCTCCGAAAGCACACGCCACTCGCTCTAATCTTTTAAAGTGCCTTTCTCTACGAGCTTACCAATGTTCATCGAATTCGACGCACACAGCTTGAGATATGTCATCATGGCTAAATTTTTGACTGTTTTTCGCAATTTGGATAATGGCTAAAATATATCGCTACCAATTGGGGGCCATTGTATTCCAAATTGCATCTACCGTGTAGTTCTTAAGTCATACGGAATTTCCACGTCGAGATTGCATGGTTGAACAACCTATTCAACTCATCCAGCTTGTTCAATCTTCCAAGTTCTCACCATTCGCAGCCAACCTTCAGTTCCAACCTGCAATCATGTCATCACCTAACAAGCGAACAGTCCTCATCACAGGGTAAGTGTAGTTGCCTCCGAGATACCTTCTATGCTCCTCTACTTTGCATTCTCCCAGACTTGGAACGCTGACATGCCTCTGACAGATGCTCCCAAGGGGGTGTCGGTAACACGCTGGCGCTCGCATTCGCAGCCCAAGGCCTGCGCGTCTTCGCAACCGCCCGTTCGCTCAAGTCGGTGGCGAACCTCACAGAAAAGGGCATCGAAACGCTCACGCTCGACGTGACGAGCTCGGAGAGCATCGCTGCCGTAAAAGAGGAGATTTCAAGACGTACAGGCGGTACCCTTGACATTCTGTACAACAATGCCGGTGCTCGTAAGTCCCCCCCCCCCTTTCCGTTCTAGGCATTCCAAGTATGCGCTTCGAGATCAAGATGACTAACATGGATATGTCCGGCATCAGTCTACGAAGCGCCAGCAGTAGAAGCAGACTCCTACCGCACCCGCCAAATGTTCGACGCCAACGTCTTCGGCCTCTTCGACATGGTGACAGCCTTCACCTCGCTCCTCCTCGCCGCCGTCTCCACCTCTCAATCCTCCCAGCAACCGACAATCGTCAACGTCGCTTCTGTCCTCGCCCGCCTCCCGGGCCCCTTCACATCCGGCTACAACGCCACAAAGGCCGCCGTCGCGGCCTACTCGGACACCCTCCGCCTCGAAGTCGCGCCCCTCGGCCTGCGCGTGCTGACGGTCTACATGGGCGAGGTGGCCACGTCCATCATCCAGGCCAACAATATTTCTTTCGATAGAGACAGCCTGTACGTCGACGCCGAGGATAAGGTGCGGGAGCGCAGCGCCACGCACGAGAAGATGACGATGAAGCCTGATGAGTTTGCGCGGCAGGTTGTGCCGCTCGTGCTCAAGAGCGGCGGGAGCCCGTATGTGTGGAAGGGTACGAATGCGTGGCTTGTTTGGTTTTTGAATGCGTTTGGGCCGAGGACGGTGTTTGATGGGACTATGAATGGGGCGGCGGGGTTGAGCGATCCGGTGATTAAGAAGAAGATTTTCGAGAGGGGGCAGGAAAAGGTCAAGAAGGCCTAGAGTCTAGGTTTTGGGGTTTGGTGGCACGAGTGAATGGTTGGGATGTGATGTTGAGTGATCCAGAGCGGCCTGACTTTTCTTTTTGGCGTGTTCTTGATACGGTTGTTAACCTAATTCCTGAATTTGAGCTCCGTAATTGGCAGTAGAGTATAACCACTAGAGCACGGTTGAATTTTCGTTTCTTCGAGTACCTCGCCGAGTACCTCCGTTCAAGAATATCACGAGACTTCATCGTCGTTTCCTAGGCTCCAATTTTTCAAACTCGATGCATGAGATGTCCCACGTCTGCATCTCCACTCGTTGATGAGCTTACTGTACTGCTTGCGAGATAGCCATGGAAATCTCTAAGCATATTTGACCATGGAGATATTCGTCGGCCGATAATTCAAAGCCGCATGATGGTGGTTCGAGTCGGCGCCAAGTCGACCCCGTCTGGTCGAGCCGGGGGCCGTTACGGCCTCTTTCGGCATCGGCCTTTTCGTACATCACTTAATTCTGCTGTAAACTCACCAAGAAGACAGCTCTTCCCCTCTGGGCGCGGCTTCACGGGTTGCTCCATACGCAGCCCCCCTATCCCTGCTACGATGCACCAACATGGTAGAACACAAACTCCGGCAACGATCTGAACAAACCTACAATTCTACTTGAGTATCTATGCTTGAGATACAACCTTGCTAAAAGCCGGTCAATGAGAGGGAGGTAACGGGGATACTGAACGTAAATGCCGGGAAGTGGACACTCGGTGCGGTCTCCGTTAGTCAGTATCACCGGATCACAAATCAAAGATCCAATTTTACCAAATCTCACTTCCCAAGCTTCCAAACCATCAAACACTGACACCACCAGGAAGAGTTCCATTGCGCTTGCCATGGCCTTTTCCCTTCGGTAACAGTTACATGAGCTACGGCTATATAAAAGGCCATTCTCCACGATGTAGTACATAGAGGAACGAATAACAATACAAGATTATCACATCACAACGTCCCAGTTACTCATTCACCTTCTCTCTGGACATCTAAATCCAGCAGCAATGTCCCTCCCAAAGACTTACAAGGCGTGGCAGGTCAAGGAGGCATGCGCCCCTCTGCAACTCCAGACGTTGGAGCCAAAGGCGCCAGGTGAAGGCGAGGTCCTCGTCAAGGTGCTCGCCTGCGGTATCTGCCACTCAGACGTCGGCATGCAAATGGGCGAATTCGGGCCCGTCCACCCCCGCGTCCCGGGCCACGAGATTGTCGGTGATATCGTCGCCGTCGGCGAGGGCGTGTCGAGGTTCAGGGGTGGCGAGCGCGTTGGAGGAGCGTGGCATGGAGGTGAGTTTGTAATATCTGGAAACCTTCCCTTTGGATCTCCAACAAGCATGAGACGAGGGAGGTCTTTGGGGAGGGAGATCATGTTAAAGTGCAGTTAACTCACGTCCACACAGGCCACGATGGAACCTGCGCAACATGCCAGTTAGGCCAATTCCAATCCTGCCAAAACGGCTCAATCAACGGCGTCACCCGCGACGGAGGCTACGCAGAATACGTCACCCTCCGCGCCGAAGCCGTCGTCCGCGTCCCAGCAGACCTCGACCCCGCCGAGACGGCGCCCCTCCTCTGCGCCGGCGTCACCGTCTTCAACGGCATCCGCAAAATGGAGATCTCACAGGGGAGCCTCGTCGCCGTCCAAGGTCTCGGTGGCCTAGGTCACCTCGCCGTGCAATACGCCAGCAAAATGGGCTACCGCGTCGCGGCCATCAGCTCCGGCGCCGCGAAAGCGAAATTCGCGTCTGAGCTGGGCGCCGAGCACTTCATCGACAGCAGCGTCGAGGACCCCGTGGCGAAGCTAAAAGCCCTGGGCGGCGCCGCGCTCGTGGTCGCGACGGCGCCGAGCGCAAAGGCGATTAGCCCCCTCACGGGAGCGCTACAGGCCCGCGGCAAGTTGTTGGTGCTCGCGCCGGTTGGGAATATCGAAATCAACTCGTTGCATTTGATCGCGGGCGGCTGTTCGGTTCACGGGTGGCCTAGCGGGCACGCGCAGGATTCGGAGGACGCGATTGAGTTCTCGAAGAAGGAGGGCGTCAAGTGCCTGATTGAGAAGTTTCCCTTGGGCGAGGCCCCTGATGCGGTGGAGCGTATGATGTCGAACAAGGTGCGCTTTAGGAGCGTGCTGGTCATGGGGTGAAGATTTGTAGATTGTGTCTTTCGGGTGCAGATGTCGTTAGAGGGTTCACAAGACTACAGAGCCAAGAGTGTTCGAGGATTGTTCGCCTCCGTTGTTGGACAAGATCCATTACCGCACACGATGAAGAGACAGCACGACAAGAGGTCAATGAGTTTACATAGGCCGTCTCGCAACTATTGGACCGTGGGCACGGCGTAGAGAAGGACTGTAGTGTAAGATGACTCGCATCCAGCATTCGCAGACGTGTTTGAGGCGTCCTGCGAGATGATCGTCGTGCTCAGCGTGGCTTCTTCAAGCAACTCGGTAGTCAAGTAAAGCATCTCTTAGAGTGTGGCATGCCCAAATCTTCAAAGGATCCCGTTGATTCTCTGGTTTGTATCCATTGTCTGTCATACGACACGGATGAGTAGCCGTGATGCACAGGGGAAGGCACCATCGCATCATTGTGGTCAGGGGCGTCTACGAGGAGACCTGCCTCCTCCAAGAGAGCAGGAGCAGAGAGAAATGGTTCGAAGTAAGGGAACCATGAGGGATCAATCACCACTCCAGATAAGATTCCGCAGACGATTGTATTGCAAGAATGAAGGCACTCTGACGACCACCACACGAGCTGGCTCCTGTAGCTGGCAGGAGTGGACATAGCAATAGCAATACTAGCGAGAGAGGCATGTTGAACGTAAATGAGGCTGGCGCGTGGATCTCATCGCCTGCGAAGCCTGTAAGACCACGAAAGCCACAGCAACGGACGCTCCAGCATCCCATCGACTCTTTCTGAACCAGAAACTGGAGCACCCTCCTTACTTTTGCGTCAAGCCCATGCAGAGGGAATTTGCCACTCGATAGCCCAGATCTATCCTTCAGTTGCCCACCCCGCTCAGGAGCAAATCACTAGATTTCTTCTTCTGAAGACGTGACACACTGGACACTGCTTGTGTCGCGGAAAAAGAGACAGGAGGCCTCATTGAGAAGGAGCCATGACCTAGGCCTGCATCATACTGCAGTCTGAGGGTAAGGGCGACAGTGGCCTGCATTACGCTGCCAAGTGGGTGACAAAATCGCTTGCCGCTCTATCGATACCCTCCCTAGCTCCTTTCCTGTTATTTCTATTCCTACTATCCCTATCCCTATTCTTTCTTTAAAGAATATTCTTATATGAATATACAAAAGACAAAAGTTATAACAGTAAGAATCAGAAGAATAATGAGAATAAGAATTGGAGGCACAGCAAGCAGGCAAGTAAGCGTCACAATCTGTCAACTGGCATCCTATCTTGTCGCCCACTTGGCTGCTATGTCCAGGCTAATGTTGCACCGGACCTCTTTGCTTCGACTTTGCTGAATGAGGGAAATTTGGTCCGCAGATTGAGGCGGAGACACCTTCATTCGGTGACTTTGTTATGTTGGTCAAGCATCGGGGCGAGTCCTGATTCTTGGCGTCTCATGGGGTGTGAGCGGTCGGGTCATTTCGGAGGGTCGAATAGATCAATTTGATAAATGAACAACGGGAAACAGAAATAGCTGGAAACGGCAATGGAAACAAACAAAACGACGATAAGGAGAAAGGGGGCCAGGGGTTGGGTTGCAGCTATTTTCTGCAAGTGGGGATTACCTCTGGCCACAGGCAAGATGGATATTCTGGTCCAGTACGACAGTAGCAAGCTTCTTGAACTAGAAACTATAGCGTTGGAGTAGTCCTGAGGAAACGTCGTGTGCCAGGACCGACCTCTCGTCGGAAATTCTCACCATCGCCGTCGAACAGCGGCAGCTGTTGTCGGAGCTGGGTCGCATCTGCTCACCAAGGTCGGGTTCTGGTTGATCACGGGCATCTGGCCCGGATCTAGGTAGCTGCCTCGCCTACAGCATTGACGAGCGACTATCCGTAAGTCGCTTGATAGAACGCTGGTGAGGGTGCTTGGCAAACAGGAGACAAATGGTCGCAATAGAGATCGTCGTTTGGCATGCAAACGCCAAGAAAAGGCAGGGCGCTGCTCTCTCAATTGATAGCACGGGTAATCGCCAGTTGACAACACGGCCCACTCGTCGACGTTCGTCTGTTGTCCGCCCGGGTACCGGAGACCGGCAGCCGTTTCAGTCCCCCGAAACCCAAGGCTTACTCTTGATCATCGTCACAATTGCCCGGCCAAGATGGAGCCAAGGCCAAAACCAAGGCGTTGCCGTCTTGGATGCGAGAGGCTCCGAATACTCTAAAATATCGCCCGAATTTCAAGACTGTTTCCGGAGGGTTGCGCTGTGATTCCAAGGCCTTTGGATTAACGGAGGTTGATACGTGACTCTGGCCTTCCCTTTCTGCGCTCTTTCCTGCACTGCCCATCAGCATCACTTACGGCAGATAGAAGGGAGTACGAATATGAAATTGGAAGATGGCTATGGGTCTTGGCCACTCCACCTGTAAGCCAGTCGGCGCAGAGACTTGATGTAATCCAAGGCCAGACAGAAAGCGCTCAAGCTAAAGCCAAGACGCCGAGAGGTCCCGAAGAATTGTTGCACAACGCGGTACCGTACCGACGCGCTTTGCGGGCTGGTATGTCGCCTTTGGGCGGCGGGCCCATGGTCAGAAGCCAAGAAGGTCCTTCAAAGTCTGGAGCTCGTAAGAAGAGGCCAAGAGTGCATGGGCACGATGGGAATGGAGCAAAGCCCACTTTGCAACAAGCCCTACTGGCATCTTGGCCTGATCCCGCCTGGCCAGCACAGCGGTGATCCCCTTTGTGAACTGACTGCACCACCTGCAGAGTCCTTCCTAATCTCGGCCTGGCGTCCGAACACAAGCACCCCATTCGACCCTCCACATCTGGGGCATTTCGGGGACCACTCGTCTCTAAACTGTCGGGGTTGTCGCGATCGTCTGGGGAGGCGAACATGGTGGTCTGATTGAGTCTGGAAGAACTGCGACCAAACGTGGAGAGTTCCAGCGTGGACGATGGCTCAAAACTTGAAGAGTCATTGTAGTCTGTAACTACATCTGAGGTGTGCGGGCAGCCATGTTGCTAATGGTGCACGCGGTCGTTTTCTCGCTCGGGTGTCGTGCATCCAAGATTTGGCCGGAAAGCTTGGTAGATTTCCGTGGCATTGGCAGGCTCATTAGGCTCGTGGCACATCGGCGAGCCTTCTGGCGGTATCCGTACAGCCAATGGATGATGACAATGCAGGACGGCACAAAGTGTGCGAGTATTCCTCCTAGAACCTTAATTCTTCGAGCCATGTTAGTGAGAGTGTGGGACGAGCAATGACCGATTCGGGTAAAGGGAGTGAAAGTCAATCTGTTGATGAACGAGGATGTGGTAAGACTCAAGCATCGTCGAGACGGGCTAAACAAACTCACAAATCGCGCAAATAAAATGCATGTGGCGGCCAGTGAGTGTGAAAGGAGCAATGCCAAGACTTGTTAAAGGCCTCGTTTTGATTGCTTCTCCTCTGATTGAGTGTAGAGCGCTGGTGATGTGGCCCCCCTGGACCGGCGAGAGTTGAAGCCAGGGCGAAACCACCCATCCTCACAGGTCTTGGCATTGCTTGCACAGCCTCATTGAACGGCGAAGCGGCGGGCGCAAGGTGGACAGGATGGGGGATACAGGCTGAAGGTGCTTGGTATCTGCAGCCAAGAACGCCCAGCTTTCGTCTGGCTGGGCTTTGAAGCGGCAAATTGTCAGGTTTGGCTATTTCTCGAGTTCTTGGGAATGGTCTGCAGCAAACACGCCGTGCCAGTGCGGGATCCCGTGGACAGGCGGGGTCGACCATGGTGCGATGGCATGGTTTGTGAGACGGCTCGTCGTTCTTGGGCTTATGTCTTCTTTTGTCGAGCAAGCTTGGCGCCGTAGCCAGGAGGAAAGAGGCCAAGTCGACCGGTCGACGACACTGTTCACCAAGGAGTAGTCTGACACCAATTGGCGTACCGCCATCGTGGGTCGAACTGCCAAGAGTTGAGCGACCCGCTCACCTGAATACTTGTGAATATGACACTACTATGTATGGACGGGCGTCGAGCCTCGGGCACGTTGGCATGTTGGGTCCATGTTTTAAGGTAATCGACGGGGTGACATCTGGCTGGATCGACCAAGTTAAGAACAAGATGGCTGTGTCGGTGCGTCTGCGACGTAGTGTAGTATACAAAGTGCTAAGTGCCGTGGTGGGAATGCGACAACGAGAAGGCAAATTAGATAGTCGAAAGGCAAAATAAAACGAAACCGTAGGGAATTGAGTGGTCGTTGCGTGTAAAGGGAGAAAGTGAACTGCCACATTGGGGAGGAATCTGTGGATGGCCGGTCAGGGACGGGATGATCTTGGGAAGGGGAGGGGGGTCGAGAGGTACCTGCCATTACCAGAAATGAGTCTTGGCGGATCGAGGCTGGTTTGGTACCTACTGAGGTGCGTAACTTCCATTGGTGTCGACTCGAGGCATGCGGAGGTACGTATCCCTCGGACCCCGACAGTTGCGTCGTTTTGGCACACGGCATCTCACCCTCCTCACCACGCCGCACTCTCGCCCACCACCTCACCCCAACCCAATCTTTTCGATTTCCCATCTGTCCTTCCTTTCAAGCTCTCAGTCCAGGGAAAATGTTCAAGTTCCCTCATCCACGTATTTAAAGTCTTGGCGAACCCCACCGCATCTGCCCGTACCGAATGCGATGACCAACGGCCGGCACATCGGCTTCCCTTGCGTGGGCCATAACAGGCGGTATTGCGCAACACTTTCTCGACGAGCCGGTTTGAACGGCTTCTGGCTGACCATAGGGGAGCGGCGACTGTATCGTGGACAGGTCGAGAAGAGGGGGCGACAGCCAGCCGACAACAGGCGAGGGCATTTGGATTGCGCGTAGCCCTTGGCGCTAAGGACTTGGCAGTCTTGGCTGCGGCGGAGAGGCCAAGAAGAGAGGAGCGGAAAGCTTCTTTTGGCTCTTGGGCATTGCCCCAAAACGTTGTCAGAATCTCCAGCGTCCCCCCCCCGTCACCCGAAAGTCACCTGCCCCCCCCGAGGTTGCCGTCCCCCAGCTTATCGAGGGTCGGGCGCCACTTGTGTGTCCGGACTGTCGAGTTTGTACCACATACGCAACTTGCAAAGTCGAAAAAGTGGAGGGCGAATCGCTCGGTTAAGCACATGGGTGATTTGTTGCGGCTTTACCAGGCTTCGCAGCGTGGCAGCTTCGGTGCGGCCTGCGGAAATGACGAGCTGGCTGCATCCCGTCTTGCCGTGTGCGGATCGTTATTCTTGGGCCGGCTCCATGGGATGGATAGCTATCAACATGTACGGGGTATGCGCTTATCGGAGCGTCCGAGGCCGCCGTCGCATCCTCGTCCCCACCCCGTGTCGTGTGTGTCTTTTCGCTTTCTGCTTCTTTTGGTACGAAGGCACGGAGACTTGGTCTCTTGGCTCTTGGGAGTCTGGGACTCGAAGCATGGAGGTCTTGGTATACGGAGTACTGAGAAAAAAGGGTGGAAGGCTTGTCGTTCTCGTGCCCCTTTCCCTGTCAATCGGGCACCAGGCATCTCCCATGTCCTGTCAATCGTCCTATCTCTCTGGCTGGTCGCCTGAAAATGTACTCCGTACTTCCAGTGCGACAGGTGCTCTGCCCGTGACATCAGGTACAGGAGTACTTGGCGGCTTGTTTCTCAGGACAGGTCAGTCTTGGACTCTTGTCCCGTCTGGTCGCACCCCAAGACCCCCAGAGACCCCAAGCAATCCAAGGCCCAAAAATACTCGGCTCACCTGCTTGGCTGGAAACAGCGCTCCCTCATCTGAGACGGTCGCAGGCCTCTTCTTCAGACGACACAGAGTGTTGTGACCCGTAGACAGAAATACCTAATACATGGCCATTGCCATGGGGAACATCTCCAGCGAGCCGCATCGATGGTGGGTGCGTGCCGCCGTTATTCCCATGAGCGTGGCAACCGATCGCAGGGACAAAGAAGGCCAAGTTTCCCACAAGCCTGGCAGGAACAGTACCGGTACGAAGGCCGCAGCCGAGTAAAGGAGGACATGAAATCAAACGCTGCGCTTGCAGTCATCAGCTGATGGCGAGCTATTGACCAACGTAAATGGACGCGGGTGCTCGCAGGATGAAGCAATAGGAGCCAAGTGCAAATGCCAAGGTCTCGGCGAAGGGAGAAAGAGTGAAAACTGGAGATTTGCCAAGACTCCCCAAGACAGCCAGAGTCTTGGCATCGTATGCGCCCGGATGTTGCGGTGTTGGCGAGGTACTTGCAGTGTCAGTGGGTGCTGTCTGTTTTCTCGTCAGGATTCGACTGTGCTGCTGAGCCGCAGCTATTACTTTTATGTGTGAATCTCTTGTGGAAATGTTAGGACAGAGTATGCTGAATACAGTGTCAACCCAGGCAAGGCTCGACGCACCTTGGCTGCCTTGTTGTCTCCCCCCATCATCCGCGACATCAGCTCGGCAGCCCTCGCCACCTCCAGCCAATCAAAAATCGGCTGGTCTCACAAGCCCCGGTCGCCAAGACTTTGCCAAGACTCTTGGAAGGGTAGGAAGAGCGGAGAGGAAATGTGATTCATGAATAAAGAGAAGAGCCCATCGTCCATGCCCCCCAGATCAGACTGATTGATTTCCCTCGAGAACACCCAGTCTTGTGAGAGTCGGCAGAAAAACATAAAAGCATTGCTGACCGTCTCTTTTTTCCCCGTTCAGCTTTGTATTATCCCAAGTATACTCTCGCCTGTTCTCGGCAATCTACAACCTGAAGCATCAAGAAGGACCCCACTCCTACTTACACAACCATCCAATCCCAACGCGCCTTACGGGACCCGGCACATTCCCATCTTCCGGACTCTCTTCACCGAGCCCGCCAGCTCGGTCAACACTCACACACACATACACACACCCCGGTCACTCACCATGTCCGCCAAACAAGAGAATGAGAGCTCTGCGAGCAACTCTCCCAAGAGCAGCACCCCCGCTCCCTCTACAACAACGAGCAACACTTCTCAGTCCGCCAACAGCACCAGCGCAGAGGACAACCTCATTTGCAAGTGGAACGCTTGCAACCTGAAGTTTGTCTCACCCGAGGCTCTCTACGTAAGTGGCAATCCACACTAAATCTTTATTTTACCCGAAACATCTCACTAACAAAATCCACAGGAGCACATCTGTGAACGTCATGTTGGCCGCAAGAGCACCAACAACCTCAACCTCACTTGCCAATGGAACTCCTGCAGGACGACCACTGTGAAGCGTGACCACATCACTTCTCACATTCGCGTGCACGTTCCTCTCAAGCCTCACAAGTGTGAGTTCTGCGGCAAGTCATTCAAGCGCCCTCAGGACTTGAAGAAGCACGTCAAGGTAAATCAACCAAGAAACTGCTCTTGTCATCTTCTTCAACCATGCTTACACCCATTGACAGACCCACGCCGATGACTCGGTCCTCGTCCGCTCGCCCCAGGACCAAGGTCTGAACGGCTACCGGGCGCAGCCTGGCAAAGGTATGTAGAGCTCAGTTTGCACACTCCTCCAAAGTCTGTCCTCTATTTTCTCCAACTAGAGGCTAATTTGCCTCCAGCTTCTTCTAGCTACTATGATCATAATGGCCACATTCGGACTAACTCCGCCGCCTTCGCACACCAGGCTGGGCATGCTAGCTACTATGCACCCCAACCATCTACAAACTATGGACTGTACTTCAACCAACAACCCTTGAACCCTCCCCGAACTGAGTACATTGGCCACCACGGCGGCTATGACAACCGCAACAAGCGCGCCTTCGACATGGTTGACGACTTCTTCGCACACGCCAAGCGTCGCCAGGTCGACCCGACCTCCTACCAACAAGTCGGCCGATCCCTTCTCCCCCTTCACGGCGCTCTCGGCCTGCACGCCGGTCCCATGCCCGGCTCCGACTACATGGCAGCCCCGCCCCAGCAGCACGTTCACCACCAACAGGCCGGCGGACCTCCTTCCGGCCCCGGACCCATGTCCCAGCAGTACTACCTGCCGCCCATGCCCAACGCCCGCACCAAGAACGATCTGGTCCAGATCGACCAGATCTTGGAGCAGATGCAGAGCACTGTTTACGAGAACTCGCACCAGGCCACGCAAGGAATCCACATCCACGGCCAGAACACGTTCGATCTCCGCCACAGCCCTTCGCCCCCAGGTATTCACAGAGGCTCCCACGCCGGCATTCCAGTCACCCAGGACGGCTACCCCGTGTCCGCTGCTCACATGGCGTCCCCGTTGACCGCAGTCTCGTCGACTGGAACCCCCGCCGTCACTCCTCCCTCAAGCACCATGTCATACACATCTGGTCACTCGCCCAGCCCCTCTTCCTCCGGCATGTCTCCCCAGTCAAGACACAGCTCCACCGCTTCTTCAGTCATGTACCCCAACCTCCCGGCCGTCAGCTCCGTCTTCCCCGGCCAATCCACCGCCTCCACGCTCGGACCCAGCTTCGACAGCAACGAGCGCAGACGCTACTCGGGAGGTATGCTCCAGCGCGCCGCGCCGTCCTCGCCAAAGTCCCCCATCATCTACGAGGACTCCTCCAGCGTCACCACTCCCAAGGCCGAGTCTGTCGCCTCGTCCGTCGGCTCTCCCTCATCCGAGTCGGACACCAGCGAGGGCGCCCGCGAGCGCGAGGAGAAGTACGACCAGTGGCTCGAGAACATGCGCACCATCGAGGCCCTCCGCGAGTACATCCGCGATCGCATCGATCGCAGAGAGTACTCTGACGAGCCCGCTGAGAAGGCCGCCGCTGAAGCCGCTACTCCCGCTCCCAAGTCTCCTGAGGCTAGCCGTCTCAAGTCTCCGGAGCCTATGGAGGTTGACGCAAAGCCCGCCCCGGCTGCGCCGTTGTACCCCATCCTGCGCATGGCAAACTGAAGAACGAAGAGAGGCCCAACTTGGCGCGTGTATCAATAGCTGTGTGTGTCCTATTAGCGTGTCTTTTTCGAAAAGTTTTTCCCCCACTTTGAATCGAGGGAAAAGTGATCGGTTTCAACAAAAAACTGGTTCGTATATCATTCTACTGCAAAACATCTTTTATTCTCTTCTTTTTATCACCAAATGCGCTTCTGGCAAAATACCTCCCAAACCCTGTCGAAGCCTCTTTGTTACGTTTACATACCCTGGTCGGTGGAAGTTGAAAGGGGGAAAGTCGGATTTGAAATCAACGCAGTCTTCAAAACGCAGATGGATTGGAGTGGACATACTCCCATCAACAAACCAAACAAAACTTTTGATTTTCACACCAAGCATTTTAACATGTTAACGGAAAGAGGGCGAGTTTTAAACATTCGGGAGGGGGCTTTGCGAGTTCAAAGCATTATTGCTACGAGTGCGAAACATCCTGTTCTTCCTAACTTTCATCGATGAACGGTTGCGCGGTTTTTTATCATAACGGATATTATCGGAACGGGGAAATGATGAGATCATGAAAAGAAACCAAACCAACCAAAACAAAGTCATGTTGCTTCGCCACCTATGTAGTCAGTCTCCTTGGCCTTGAACGCAAAAGGATCGAAATGAATGCTTATTGCTACCTCTGAACACTATTTTGATCATCGGAGCTTGATTTGATTTGACCATCTTGGCAACTGTGATATTGTAGACAAAACATTCCGACCTTGAATTAGGTCGTTTGGCAAACTGTCTTGGGGTGTAAGTCAAGTCTTGTCTTCAACTGAGCAGCCCTTCCCATGCGGGCTGTCCAGCCGAATATGTGTCCAGAAACCCAAGCTCCCGTCTTGAGTTTTTGGCCCTTGAGCACCGGAACCGCCCCAAGACCCCAATCCATCCTCGCTGCCACTATCGCTCCCCCGGATAGAATGGACGAGGCTGCAGGATCTACAATCCTTAAACTTTACCCCATCATTTTAAAAAAGTTCCGAACGATTAAATTACTATCAAAAGCCCGCAAGCCATGTCATCCGCAAGGAACACTCTACTCCGCACGCCCAAGTTCTAAGAATAGAAACCGGCACCAACGGTCTTTTCGCGAACTAATTCCTCGATACGGCCAGTTGAGCCGTTTTGCATCCGTAGAGACGGTCTCTGAATATCCCGTCGTCGCCCGTCCCTAGCCGAGAAAGCTTACAGACACAGACTACAGAGAATGAAGCTGTCTTGCCAAGATGGCCGGATCCGGAGCTTCGTAGACCGGGGGGCCGGGCGCCGGGCCGCAGCTCGTCATTCTCACGTCTGCCCAGAACGCCTTCTTCCTCAGTCACCCAACCCTAGAATTCTTCTTTTCCCCTTTGAGGAATGTCACCGGAGTCCCGTGGCCTCCTCGGTGAGCCCTTTGAAAGTCGTTCCAGCTCCAAGGCTTAGATACCGCAGAGCGGAAGTCTGGTTCAGGGCCCCGTAGTGTGGGCCTTCAAGATGGCCTTGGACCCCCTTGACCAGAGGCCTGGCTTTTCTCTCAGAGAGTCAAGGTGAGATTGAACAGTCTATATCATCAGAAGACCAGGAATTCCAGTCCTGCTGTCTGTTCGTGTGGAATTATGGCCCTACGCGATACCGAGTCTGTCGAGTGCTTCGACTGAGACATGAGCTGACGGGTGAGCACCTGCCAAGCTTCCTGGCTTACAGACAACAGCCATATCGAGGACGAAAACGCTCTCTCCTAACTCTTGGCGAGGTGATATACAGATCATGCCTAAACTTTTCTCCCTTCAACACTTACACGAGTGTCACACAGGTCTACTTGAAATCTCCATATTGAATCCGACATCACACTGATCGAGACATTCTTGTTAGCCTGCCAACCCTGTGATCGGCCCTTTTCTCGGCGGGATCCGAGATCTCGCGGGGGAATAGGGCACTGGCAAGCCCGCGTAGCAATGGCAAAGCAGCACACTGGGTCCCATGAGTATC